GGGGCGGAGGACGGCGCAGGGCAGGGCCTGACAACAAGGCAAACTTTGATAAGCAGTTCTCCATAATCACTTCTCAGCAATTATTTATTACAGTTTAACATATAAAATTAACAAAAATAATATAAAACTCATATTCTGGCGAAATAGCCATATGGCGGCCGAAAACCGTATATTCCCTTCTTGTTCTCCTGCCCATTCGTGCATTCTTTCCAAAAATTGGGACTTTTTAAAAACGCTGTGGGATGTGGGACAAATTGTTGAAAAGCAGGACTGTCCCACCAAAATCTGGACGTCTGGTCACCCTATTAAAAGGCCATGGGCTATAGTCTCTCTTCAGACCATACTTTTAGTGTAAAAAAGAAAAATATATTTTTACACATAAGAACTTGAACTCCTCTTCCTCTCATAACACTATTTAAAGGCTGTTTATGGAAAGATAAATCTGAAGTTTTAAAAATATCATAATTGTAAGTTGAAGGCTTTGAATTGCCAAGTGTTAACTAAGATTTAAGAGCTTCTGATCAAGGAAAAACCCAATGTTAAAACAAAGTTTAGAACATCTCAACTATCAAAATACATGCTATTTAACTTCATTTAAAATAAAAAGAGAGATCGGGCCTATTAAATGTAATTTACAGATAGCAGTAGAGCTTAATGTTCAAAATAATCTGATATAGCTAATAAAAGATGGATGCTCACCTCTTCATAAACCTTCTTGGCATTGCCATTATCTCCAATCAAGAGGTATCCCACTCCAAGGTCATTCTTTAAGGATGTGTCATTGGGAAATAGTTGAACTAATCTCTGGAGGGTAAGCAGGGAACCTCTCATATGACCTGGGTTGGTAGGAAGGGGATAAAGAAAAATGCCCAACAGAAATAAAAACAGCATATGTAAACTTTCCATCGAAACACAAATCACGAGCGACTGTGCAACAGCACCTGACTATTTCTTAGCAGCTTATTAAGGATCTGGGAAAATTTCATGATGTGGTTGCGGTGGTATCAATAACCACCATAAGTAGATACTGAATAGAGTATTGATTATAAACATTTACAGATATTTTCATTTTCTAAATGTATCAACATTTACCTTTTTGGGTTAAATTCCCTCTTAAGAAAATTTTAGTTACCAATTCCTTGTTAAAAAGTGCTCTGCTGAGATATTTTTTAGTTTGTTAACCTTAAAATTACATATAGAGGATAAACAATAAAAAATCTAATTGATTTCAGGGTTTAGCACCCTGCGTAAAGCCTGAAAAGGCACCGAGGCACACAGGACTTAACTGCTGACACCATCTTCAATGACAGACATCCTCATCTCCAGGTAATTAAACACACGTTACATCATCCAGGACGAGGGCGCCCTCTGGTGGATGACAGCATGCTATGCACTACATGATTTCACGTAGAACAATGTTTTTCAACATTTTTGATCTCACAGCACACTTGAGCCTATAGTTGAACTTCCCTGGCACAAATTACGTTAATCAAAAAAAGAAAGAGTAAAAAAGTATATACTTAGTGTACTTGGAATTTCTTTTGAAAATAATTTAATTAATGATGTTTAATATTCCCCACAGCACACCTAAGACCCTCCCGGGAGGTAGAGGGCTGGCATGTGGCTCACACCTGTCCTCCCAGCACCCTGGAAAGCTGAGGTGGTGGATGGCTTGAGCTCAGGAGTTCGTGATCAGCCTGAGCAAGAGCAAGACCCCATCTTGACTAAAAATAGAAAAACTAGCTAGACGATGTGGTGGGCGCCTGCAGTCCCAGCTACTCAGGAGGCTAATTGCTTACCTGGGGAGTTTGAGGTTGCTATGCACTATGTCACCACAGCACCCCATCCAGGGTGACAGTATAGACTCTGTCTTAACAACAACAAAAAAAAAAAGAAAGAAAGAAAGGATGGCACCTGTGGCTCAAAGGAGTAGGGCGCCGGCCCCATATGCCGGAGGTGGTGGGTTCAAACTTAGCCCAGGCCAAAAGCTGCTAAAAAAAAAAAAAAAAAGAAAGAGAAAGAAAAATGAAAATCTTTGATGTAGAATCATGAAAACTCCAGCTTCAGCTTATTTTTAAAGCTCTCTGATGGAAATTTAAAATTAGTAGGGTCAGGTATAATTATTTCTTGCCATAGTTGGAAAGTTTCAATTGTATAAAGTGGGCACAAGATCAGCATACACAAAAAACAATCCACCCCCAATTACCTAAAGGGCTTAGTTGTGCACACACTGAACACTGGACGGGTATCAGGGTGGCAGGCATGCCAATACGCTAATGCAGTTATGTGTGCCACTAACAGACCAGCTGCGCAAAGCCTCCTAGCTCACCCCAGGGCCCACACCCCACGACCAGCCAGTCGTATTCTAGTCACGCTGCCGGCTGAGTTTGCTCCATTCCCTTACTAATAACTCCTCCTGTCAGTCGCTCCCAGCCCTTCCACTCTGCACTCCAGAACCCTGTTCTATCGGGAGCAAATTTCACCACCTTGCTATTTCCACTAAAATCTGCCGGCAGCTGCCTCAGAGCTTTCTCAAGTGAACTTGCCTCATTGTCATTCAGAGGTAAAAACCATATTCAAATACCGAATGATTGTTGTGGAAGAAGGTTAGATTTCATCCTAGGCAGTCTTATTCCCGAGGCTGGGAATGCGGGGAGGCGAGTGAGGTCCTTGGTGCAAAGCAAAAGAGGATGCCAAAAAGTCTGCAATTTTGATTTGAGGAAGACTTTAATGCATCCTTTTGAAAAATCAAAATTGATATTTATATAAAAATCCATGATGAACAAAATATTAACGGATTAAAGACAGAATTACTAAACAGTGCCAAGCAAAGCCATTTCAAAGACTGAGGAGAGAGAAAAACTCTCTAATACGGACTTTGCATCCACAGTGGGGGCCTCCGTCACTAGCCTGGAGTCCCCACCCTGACTTTCCAACCTGTATCTGTGTGGCATGTTTTTCCTCCCCTAAACTGGCCCCTATGATTTAAGAGTAGCTGACCACTTCTTGTTCTTAGTCATCACTTGGGCTCTATTCCTATCACAGATTTTGGTTTCTTACAAAAGTGGTGCAATGCCCCTTTATTCTATTCCTTAGAAAACCAATAGAAGGGTCACTTGGGCCTTGACTCTTATGTAAAGGCACCTCCCTTAAATGACACTGGTAATCTGGCCATGTAACTATCCAGCCAGATGAACCACCACCTGGCCGTGAGGTGACGACTCATGGCTTAGCTCCTTACCTCCTGGTTTACTGATGAGAAGTTAAGGGAAGAGAATCACAGCCTGATTAAAATGAAGTTGTCTGACTGCTAGTCGTACTTGCCTTCAGCACCAAAGGACCAGGGTCAGTCTAAAGAATGCTCTCCCATATAAGCACTTGACAATAATAAATGTTTTTTCTGGCTCAGCGCCTGTGGCTCAAGTGGCTAAGGGGCCAGCCACATACACCTAAGGTGGTGGGTTTGAATTCAGCCTGGGCCCATGAAAAACAACAATGATGGCTGCAACCAAAAAATAGCCGGGCATTGTGGTGGGCACCTGTGGTCCCAGCTACTTGGGAGGCTGAGGCAGGAGACTCACTTGAGCCCAGGAGTTGGAGGTTGCTGTGAGCTGTGATGCCACGGCACTCTACTCAGGGGAATAGCTTGAGGCTCTGTCTCAAAAAAAATAAAAAATAAATGTTTTTTCTTGCATTTTCCTTGGTATAGGGTTGAATCTTACAAGTAAAATTTTTAGAATGCCTGAAACTCTTAACTTTCCTCCCTAAAAAATTTTCTGAATGAGTTTAAGAGAGAAAAGAATCTGACATCACTACAAGAATTTTTGATTCCAGATCTACTAATTTATTAGGTGTGGTTCATTGGGCAAATTATTTAAGCTCTTGGTCTTCTATTTATTTCACCTTTAAAATGGGAAGTGGGGAGGAGAGGGCATAAAAATACCATCTGCATCTTTGTAATTACAGGCCTGCCTCCTTTAGTGCATTGTGCTTCATTATACTTTGCAGATATTATGGTTTCCACCAACTGAAGGTCTGTGGCAATCCAGGGATGAGCAAGTCTGTCGGCACCATTTTCCAGCAGCACGTGTACTCACTTTTGTGTCTGTGTCACATTTGGTAATTCTTACAATATGTCAAACCTTTGCTTTATTACTGTCTCCATCACCGATGATCTGTGATGAGCGGTCCTCAATGTTGCTATTGTAATTGTTTTGGGAGACCGCAGACCACACCCATATAAGATGACAAATGTAACTGATAAATATCATGTGTGCTCTCACTGCTTCCTTGACCAGCCACGCTCCTATCTCTCTCCCTCCTCTTGGGTCTTCCTATTTTCTGAGACACAAGGATATTGTACCTAAGCCAATTACTAACCATAACAGTGGCTTCTAAGTGTGCAAATGAAGGAAAGAGTCACATGTATCTCATTTTAAGCCAAAAGTTAGAAATAATGAAACTTAGTAAGGAAGTCATACTGAAACCTTACATAGGCCCAAAGTCAGGCCTCTTGTGCCAAACATTTAGTCAAGTTCTGAGTGCAAAGGAAAAACCCTTGAAGGAAATGAAAAGTGCCGCTCCAGTGAACACACGAATAATAAGAAAGCAAAACAGTCTTATTGGTGATACGGAGAAACTTGACCGGTTTGAATGGAAGAACAAACCAAGTACAACATTCCCTTAAGCCTAAGCCTAATTCAGAGCATTTCAGCACAAGACCCAAACTCTTTTGTGGTATGAAGGTCGAGAGAGGTGATGAAGCCACAGAAGAAAAGCCAGAGGCTCACAGAGGATGGCTGATGAGGGCTAAGTGCAGGCAAAGCAGCAAGTGCTGGTGGAGAAGCTGCAGCAAGTTATAGATGTAGCTCAGATCACTGAGGCACTAAACATGCTTTCAGTGCAAACAACATGGCCTCTGTTGGAAGAAGATGCCATCTAGGACTTTCACAGCTAGAGAGAAGTAAATGCTTGGCTTCATAGTTTCAAAGAACAGGCTACCTCTCTTGTTAGAGCTGTAAAATTTAGACTGAAGCCAATGCTCCTTCACAATTTGAAAAATGGTGTATTCACATTAATGAGAGTTTGGAAGAAGTTGATTCCAACCCTCATGGATGAGGCTGAGTGGTTCCAAACATCAGTGGAAGAAGTTACTGCAGATGCAGTAGAAATACCAAGAGAGCTAGAATTAGGGCATAGCCTGAAGGAGCAACTGATGCTGCGACCTCAAGATCAGATTTGACTGGAAGAGGAGCTGCTCTTCACGGATGACCACAGAAAATGGTTTCTTGAAGTGTAATCTACTCCTGGTGAAGATGCAGGGAACACTGCCAAAATGACAACAAAGGATTGAGAATAGTCCATAAACTGAGAAGATGTAACAGTGGCAGGGGTTGAGGAGATTAATTACAATTTTAAGAAGTTCTACTGTGGGTAAAATTCTACCCAGTAGTGTCACATGCTTCAGGAAAGGAAGAGGCAATTGACGTGGCAACCTTTATTGCTGTCTTATTTTAAGGACTTGCCACAGCCACCTCGACCTTCGGCATTCACCACCCTGATTAGTCAGCAGCTTCAACTTTAAAGCAAGACCCTCCACCAGCAAACAGACCCACTCCCTGAATGAATCCAGCATTTTTCAGCAATTATTTTTAAATTGAGGTACATAGATTATTTATTTTTTACTTATAATGCTATTGAACATTTAATAGAATACAGGTTACTACAAACAGACATTTTATATGAACTGGGAAACCAAAAATCCATGTGACTTGCTTTATTGTGACTCCTCCTTTATCACAGTGTTCTAGAATCAATCCTGCAATATCTCCAAGGTATGCCCGTAAGAGGATTCACGCTGCTGTTTTAGTTTTAGAGATGCTTAGTCTAAAACACAGTGAGATAAGTTACTTGCATTATTTATAAAACCCAAGTTTCCTCTCATCTAACTTAGCTCTTCTAAGATTATCCAGGGCCTGCAGGTTCCTTAAGACAAAGCATGCCTCTTCCCACCGAATCAACTTTTACTCACCTAGAAACTGCTGTCTGTCCGAGCACCGCTTCAGAGCCAGCTTCAGCAGGTCTGTGGGCACGGCGGGCAAGCCGGCGACCTCCTGGTAGGTCTCGATGGCCCCTCGCAGCAGCTCATTGCTTCTTCTCTTCTCGGCCAAGTCGTCTTCACACTAGAGGAAGCCCCAGACTGGATAAATGTCCCATGACCAGCTTATTTGTCATTATCCAAACAGTAAACAGTAAAAGTTAACTTTCACAGATGCTTTAAAAGAAATTCAAGACAGCTTATCCTTTACTTTCTGTCAAGACATTTTTTTTTTTTTTAAAGAAAGCACAACAGCACCATCTTAATAATATAAAGAAAAGTTTGCTACTAAACTTCGGATAAGAAAGAACAACATGAAAGCAAGAATAATGTACAGGAGGGTTGAGGGAGGCTTCTATCTTATTAGTAGCATCATATCAGCAGGACTCCAGTCCAAGATCCTATTCATGTGCTCATTCATTCATTCATTCATTCATTTATTCCTTCTCCACTCAACAACTATTTTTTGGTAGCCAGGCACTGTTCTATGAATGTGGCAGATTGAACAAAGCAGACAACTTTTGCTTTCCTCTTGGAAAGGGAAAAAAGTGACACATATAAAGGTATCAAGCAACTAACGGTATAAGTGCTGGGGATAAAAACAAAGCAGGCTTAGGAGTGAGTGCTGCGGAGTGGTAAGGAAGTTGCTGGTTTCATCAGAGTGATGAGGCCTGGGGAAAGACAGGGAACAGGTTGGAAGGAGGATCTTTATAGGAAGACAGTTTCAGGCAGAGAGAACAGGGAGAGTGAGGGCTCTGAGGCAGGAGTAAGGGCTCTGAAGCTGGTGTGAGGGCTCTGAGGCTGGTGTGTGGGCTCTGAGGCTGGTGTGTGGGCTCTGAGGCTGGTGTGAGGGCTCTGAAGCTGGAGTGCGGGCTCTGAAGCCAGGGTAAGGGCTGTGACGGCTCTGAGGGTTGGGTAAGGGCTCTGATCTAGGGGTGAGGAGTCAAGGAGAGGGTAGCACAGTGGAAGGGAGGAGGAGGAGGACTGGCGGGGGTCACAGAGTAATGTAGGGCCTGGTGTACTCGGACCAGTCCTACCATACTCGATGAGTTGGAAAGACACTAGGGGGTTCCAGGGTGCCATGACATGTGTATGGAATGAACTTGGTGGCAGTAATGGTAAACAGTGTGGAGAAGAGACGGAGGGTTTGGAGGACCAGCAGAGAGCCCAACCAGGATGCTCTTGCAGGAATCCAGACACGGGACAATGTGGCTTGGACCAAAGTAGTGGTAATAGAGGTGGTAAGAAGTGGCTGGATTGCAGATGTATTTTGAAGGTCAGAGCTAACAGATTTACCATAGGAAGAAAGGGAGAGAGAAAAACCAGGAATGACATGAGGGTTTGGGGCTACAGTGATTGTGAGAAAAACTGTAATTCCCTGGGAATGGGAAGCCGGGGCAGAAGTGGGTTTGAGGGGAGTGTGGAGTTCAATTCACTTGTGGACATATTAACCCCCAAAGTGGGGGGGTGGGCACTGAGACACTGACCAGAAGGTGCATAGGTGGGTGTGGAGTTTGGCAGAGAGGTCAGAGGCAGAGGCAGACATCTGGGAACCATCGGCGATAGAGCTGGTTTGTGTGCAGCATAGAAGCCAGAAGCAGCTGTGCACACAGACAGATGAAAGAAGAGGTCCAAAAACTGAGCCCCTAAGAAATGCTGACATTTCAAGGTCATTAAAGACAGGAAGACAAGAGAGGGCTGAGGGAGGAGGGCAGGCTGGATTCCTCACAGACCTTCCAACTCTCTGTGTGCGGATTCAGGAGGGCAGGTGGTAAGACCTTTAGATTCGTCATCGGTAGTTTAGATTAGAGAAATTAAGGCAGCTCAAAGGGACGAAACTTAGTTTCCCCTTTTCTTCCCCCCCCGTACGTCATCTGGCTATTTCAGATGTTCCATTACCCTGTATTCCTGCTTCCCAACTGCTGCCCTTCACCCACCCGTCCTGGGGGCCTTGGGCTCCTCGGTCTTCTATCTTTAACTCCTGTTCATCCCTGCACATTCCATAAGAGACCCTCCAGAAACAGGCCCAGGACGGCGCTGTCTAAAGCTGCCAGTAGGCACAGAGAACTGTGTCCACCTCCTCATACCCTTTATGGGCTCAGTTTGTGTGAAAGGCTGGGGTTTTTCCGGCGTCCTCTCCCTTGTCAGCTGTCGCCCCAGGCTGGGTTCCCTGGGAATCCTGATGGAGTGTCAGCAAAAAGGATGGAGAATGAGTGAGCTGAGAAGATAGTAACAAAAGGTGTGTTCTGGAGGCCAAGTGAAAAAAAGGGTTTCAAGAAGAAGAGACGGAGTGTGTTACACGTGGTGCTCAGGTCGGCAGGCTGAGAACTGAGGCTGGAGGACAGTGGACCGGGCGGCATGCAGTGCTGGAGGCCCCGAGTGAGCATTTCCATGGGGCTCCTGGGGATGTGCCCCAGCGGACAGCAGGGTCAAGAGAACATGGGAGAAGGAGGTGGAGACGGCTCTTTCAAGAAGTTCCACTACAACGGGCTGAGAAGTGGGCCGGCGTGGAGAAGGGGCTGCGGAAACAGGGCAGAGTGCTGCAAGGGAACAGTGCAGTGAGTTTCCAAGAGATGCAAAAGGCCCAGAGAAGAGAATTCTGATGAGGCGGGACACAAAAATTAAAGAGACATCCTTAGGCAGGGGAAAGGGAATTAGGAGCAGACCAGTCCATGGTGGCAGAGCACTGGGACAGTGCAGGAGGGAAGAGAGAGGGGAATGTGCAGAGCAGTCGTCAGTATCTCATCATGTCTAGCAGATTACAATCTGAACGTGATCATTTGAGGAAAAGTAAGACCACTGACATGCTAAGCATAGAATATGTAATTTTTCCTCATAATTTGTAAACACATATATCTATTTAACATGTTTACCTTGTTTAAAATAAAGTGTAGGCTATAGTCATTAGAAAGGTGTCTGCAGAACCATAACAAGGCATCACTCTACAAAGTGAGGGGATGGTAAGAAAATGATCTCCAAATTAAAAAGAAAATGAGAAGAATCGGCACAAATTGATAAAATAAGAAATCCAGGGTAATTTTTTTCAGAAAATAGTACATCAGTGAAATAACGTGTTAAGTCAAGATTAAGATTTCTCGAGGTGATGAAGGCTGGAAATGAAGCCGGGCTAGTAGAAGAGGACACCTCTGTAAAAAGGGAAATTAGTAGGACAAAAACCTCTAATTAGAAATGGGCAATTCACTCTTATTCAACAGAAATATTCCTTCAACTATCATTCAACTCCCTTTTCAGATCTGTAAACAGTTTCTAGAATAGATTTCTCTACCAGGAAAGAAAGTCCAGTGTCAACGGCCCATATCGGCCATGATGCCAAGCTGGCCTCGCACCACATATTCATATGCTGCCTTTCTGTTTAGGCATCAGCTTCTTGTGAGTTTGGTTAAAGTGAGTTAACGCCTCAGAACATGAATGTTGATAAATGAATTCACAGAAACATCGAGTCCTGGAGCTGAGAGTTCTTTTGAGACCACCAACAGATGATCCTCGACTTATGATGGACTTACTTCCTGATAAGCTGATCAAAAGTTGAAAATATCGTAAGTTTAAAATGCATTTAATACACCTAACCTACTGAACATCAAAGCTTAGCCTGGCTGACCTTATGTACATGCTCAGAACACTGATGTTAGCTACACTGGGGCAAAATCATCTCACGCAGAGCCTCATTGATAAAAGTGTTGAATGTGTCATGAGACTGGACACCATACTGAAGTGTGGTTTCTATTGAACGTAATTGGTTTTCCCACCACTATGAAGTTGAAAAATGGTAAGTTGAACCATCAGAAGTCATGGTTCACCCTTCTTGTTTTCAACTTACAAAGCATCCAATGGATCCTGGAATGGAGTTCTCTGCAGGGTTAGGAGAAGGGCAAATGCCTACCAAGATAATCCTTTACAGAAATCAGAAAAAATGATGTAATCTGTATGCCTGGCCCCATCCCCAGCGCCGCAGAGCCCTTCCTTTTAATGAAGTATAAACATTTTACAACTTCCAGAATTCGAAAAATGTCATTATTGAAATGGCACATAATTCTTTAAAATCTCTTGAATGAAACTGATAGGCACTTGCATTGAAAATCAAAATTGTTCAGATTGATTTTTATCAGTTTAGCATCAGTAGATTAAACGAGCTGAGCTGAAACTGAATATTTGTTACAGGACATTAACATCCCCAAGCCTTTTTTGTTGATTCTAACTAATTCACTCATCCAATCTTTCTGGGAGATGTGTCATTTTCTGCCTCAAAGGCATTAATGGTTTGTGAAAGATAATAAAGTGAATTGAGTCTATAATTCAAGATTTGGTGTCTGATGTTCAGGGAATTTGATCAAAATTGATTTTCTCAGTGATCCAGAGATTAAGACAATACCAGTGCTACTTTAGATGTGATAGATACTATAGTTTCTACTTGACTTAATGTTGCTATTTTTTTAATTTGTTTGGGATATTCCAAAGTAATGTTTACTCTGCTAACAAAGATTTGAAAAGCCTTAATTTATTCCTTCCTATAAAATCCATCCTCTGTGAATTTTTCTTTTTAAAACCATGAATGTAAAGTTTCCTTTAAATTACTCTATTAAAATTTAATTTACCATGCTCAAATTTTGCTTTACACCACATTAATATTAATATCAACAATACCTTGTAGCATAATAGTTTAGACATAAAAGACATTGCTTGAAGCCTATATCTCAAATGACTATTGTGAAATAAGGATACAGAATCATCTTTCAGCATCTGCAGGAGACTGGCTCTAAGATGACCAACATTACTGCTCCCCTAGGACACCAAAGTCCAAAGATGCTCAGGTCCTTGATATAAAATGGCACAGTATGTGCATATAGCCTATGCACGTCCTCCTGTGTCCTCTGAATCATTTCTAGGTTGCTTGTCATACCTAATATAATCTAAATAGTTGCTACATTGTATTGCTTTTGATTTTTTTATTGTAGTATTATTATTTCTCTCTCTCTTTTTTTTATTGTTGGGGATTCATTGAGGGTACGAGAAACCAGGTTACACTGATTGCATTTGTTAGGTGAAGTCCCTCTTATACTTGTGTCT